GGATGGTGTTCTTGGGGTCATAGGCAGCATTCCTCCTCCTCCAAACACGGCGAGTTGAGTTGATGCCAAAGAGCTCGATTTTGGTCTCATCTGACCACAACACTTTCACCCAGTTCTCCTCTGAATCATTCAGATGTTCATTGGCAAACTTCAGATGGCCCTGTATATGTGCTTTCTTGAGCAGGGGGACCTTGCGGGCGCTGCAGGATTTCAGTCCTTCACGGCGTAGTGTGTTACCAATTGTTTTCTTGGTGACTATGGTCCCAGCTGCCTTGAGATCATTGACAAGATCCTCCCGTGTAGTTCTGGGCTGATTCCTCACCATTCTCATGATCATTGCAACTCCACAAGGAGAGATCTTGCATGGAGCCTCAGGCCGAGGGAGATTGACAGTTATTTTGTGTTTCTTCCATTTGCGAATAATCGCACCAACTGTTGTCACCTTCTCACCAAGCTGCTTGGCGATGGTCTTGTAGCCCATTCCAGCCTTGTGTAGGTCTACAATCTTGTCCCTGACATCCTTGGAGAGCTCTTTGGTCTTGGCCATGGTGGAGAGTTTGGAATCTGATTGCTTGATTGCTTCTGTGGACAGGTGTCTTTTATACAGGTAACAAGCTAAGAGTGTGCTCCTAATCTCAGCTTGTTACCTGTATAACAGACACCTGGGTGGCAGAAATCTTTCTGATTGAGAGGGGGTCAAATACTTATTTCCCTCATTAAAATGCAAATCAATATATAACATTTCTGACATGCGTTTTTCTGGATTTTGTTGTTGTTATTCTGTCTCTCACTGTTCAAATAAACCTACCATAAAAATTGATAATTTCTTTGTCAGTGGGCAAACGTACAAAATCAGCAGGGGATCAAATACTTTTTTTCCCTCACTGTATTCATGTGGAATGTATGCCAAGGCTAGGTACAGACACAGATCTTTAGTTAGGGTGGATGTTTTATGAATTCACCACATACTGTAAGTGCTAATGTACTTATACTTCAAATAGATGCAACCTGTATTCTACCCAAAACATTTTCATTTTTATGGCAAAAAATTATTCTGAAAGGAAACATCTTGGTGTTCATGCCCCATCTGCAGTAGTTTACTGTACGCAGGAAGAGGCAACATACCGTTATGTGAACTTATGACAGTTGAGTAGGGGTGAGTGCCTTTGAAATGAAACTCTCAAATATATTATTGGTATTGGTCATCTGTACCCATGAGTGAACAGCATCTTTAATAGGAAAGAGAGCAATTCTTTTTTTTAATCAAGTGCTGTTGACCCTCATTAGAGAAGTACCGGTGACGAGAGAGAGTGTTGTTTTCAGAGTCCTTGATTAGGTGAAATGGTGATTGCCCTGATTGCTTCTTTGTGTTCACGTTTCACAGACACTCGACACACTCTTTCCATTCCTAACCGTTCATCTAAAAACATGGCCCACTCTCATCTCCATCTCTAAAGGAGATTGTGTTTAATGGGAGTCAGCAGCAACCAGTCAGTATTTAAGGATTATTCTGATGTTCTCATCCCCTCCATCTTTCATCTTATCCAACTGCATTAGCAGCTAGTCGTTAATGTACTTCCAACTGCACTAGCAGCTAGTCGTTAATGTACTTCCAACTGCACTAGCAGCTAGTCGTTAATGTACTTCCAACTGCACTAGCAGCTAGTCGTTAATGTACTTCCAACTGCACTAGCAGCTAGTCGTTAATGTACTTCCAACTGCACTAGCAGCTAGTCGTTCATGTACTTCCAACTGCACTAGCAGCTAGTCGTTAATGTACTTCCAACTGCACTAGCAGCTAGTCGTTCATGTACTTCCAACTGCACTAGCAGCTAGTCGTTAATGTACTTCCAACTGGGACTAGCAGCTAGTCGTTCATGTACTTCCAACTGCACTAGCGCTAGTCGTTAATGTACTTCCACTGCATAGCAGCTAGTCGTTTTGTACTCCAACTGCACTAGCAGCTAGTCGTTAATGTACATCCAACTGCACCAGCAGCTAGTCGTTAATGTACTTCCAACTGCACTAGCAGCTAGTCGTTAATGTACATCCAACTGCACTAGCAGCTAGTCGTTAATGTACTTCCAACTGCACTAGCAGCTAGTCGTTAATGTACATCCAACTGCACTAGCAGCTAGTCGTTAATTGACATCCAACTGCACTAGCAGCTAGTTGTTAATTGACATTTCATAACCTGAACGCACTTGTTCATTTTTATTAAGTAATCAGAAGATTGCCAATTAATATTGGGTGTGTGATCTGTGCCCATAATGGTTTAGATGTCATGACCCAAACAAAGCCATTGGTAGGTATTGAGTAATAGCCTAGTGAAGCTGTCGCTTATTACATATCGCATCACAAACCCTAGGCTATGCTCCACACTAGTAAGTCTTCAACTAAACCTTATCACTGTCAAATGAGCTTACTCTTGGGTGGTTAGTGGTTGTACCATGTGTGCGTGCACACACGCACACACACACACACACACACACACACACACACACACACACACACACACACACACACACACACACACACACACACACACACACACACACACACACACACACACACACACACACACACACACACACACATACACACACACACTCTCTGCTGTAAAGATTATTGAAAGAACTTGAGCCAGTAAAACCTGGAATTATTCTCACTGTGTGGGCAGGGAGGTCTTATTTCCCGCTGAGGTTTCATATGTTATTTACCGTTGTTATTTAAGTTAATCATTAGAGTCTGCTTTTTAATTCATCTCTAGCACCATCTCTGCTTTAGAATTCTAAAACTCCAGGTCAAGATTTTCTGCTAAGTAATTCAGCTTTTACTGGCACCAGTCAGTGTTCCTCTGTCTTCTGTGGTAATGAAATCATTGTGACTGCTACTCAATAGTATTCCACAAGTCAGGAAATGCACTACAATACAGCATTGTATTGCCATGGGCAATGACTGGGAGTTTTGCGCTGAATTTAAAGGCTGAAAGTGGCCTATTCTGTTTCAGACCTTTATGAGGGCTTTTTGGCATCACCGACGTGTAAGGGAAGGGTGCATACGCCAGCTTCAGAATTGCTGTTTCGCTGTTTATTTTTCCTGTCAATCGCTGAGCATTTTCACAGCCGATAGATATTTTGCATGCATTAAACATTCTACCATTTGTTATGAAACTTAAAACAGATTTATCAAACAGCGGCTGCTAATGAGAAAGTGTTGCGCTGATCTTTGCAGCAGTAATGATTCTATCCATTTTAGGTATTCATGAAGCATATTTCATTGTCATGAGTGTCATGGGTGGATGAAAGAGAAAAAAAACATGGGCAAAATCTCCTTTTTCAGACGGGACTATTACTGTCACCATGTATACCCATTTAGACCTGTGAGCACAACTGAATCATTTTCACAATGAATTAATCAGTTTTGATAAAAGTGCTATTTTGGCATGCATGCATTTGCGAAACAAAGGATTTGATATTCCCAACTGTTGTCGAATGTGGCATAAAAATGCATTAAAGGAGAGTAATGCCAGTAAAAAGAAATTATATATATATTAAAAAAAAAAACTATGGCATGGATGATTGGATTTGTGATGAGTTCCGTGTTTTCCTGCCCTCTCTGTGACAACTACGTGATGACTCATAATTAGTGAGGTCAGAGACAACCTAACAAAGCTACTGTTGTTATTGTGAGGTAACGTCACTACCGAAACTCACCAAACACTCTGGACACACTAAATAAGTTGACGGGCAGAATATCGTGCACCCCTCATGCAGAGAACAAAGTAGCGCTTAGTAAATGCTAGAGGTGCTGTCTGTCTCGATCTCGATCTCGGTCTCGGTCTCGGTCTCGATCTCGGTCTCTGTCTCTGTCTCTGTCTCTGTCTCTGTCTCTGTCTCTGTCTCTGTCTCTGTCTCTGTCTCTGTCTCTGTCTCTGTCTCTGTCTCTGTCTCTGTCTCTGTCTGCCTGTCTGCCTGTCTGTCTGTCTGTCTGTCTGTGTGCTGCTAATACCTGAAACCCCAAACTGCTGAAATGTGTCAGATGATTAAAGACCCATTCTTCCTGTGTTCCTACTTCCTACCCAGCCCTAACCCAGGCTGTTGAGGTGCCATAAGGGCCTCTTCCTAACCGAGCCCTAACCCAGGCTGTTGAGGTGCCATAAGGGCCTCTTCCTAACCGAGCCCTAACCCAGGCTGTTGAGGTGCCATAAGGGCCTCTTCCTAACCGAGCCCTAACCCAGGCTGTTGAGGTGCCATAATGGCCTCATTCATTCCAGAAGCTCTGACCAGCGGGGGGGGGATCATGAGCAGTGGAACTATGTCTGACCCACTGATCACTACAGCATTATTCTGTGGTGCGTTACTAATATATCGCAGCGCATCTTCACTTTCCCCTGTCCATTTGTGTATCTTCTGTTGTTGTCACATTCTCTTTTCCTAGTAGCAATACTTCCTAATTAACAAATGTGCTCTGGATTAGTGTTGGTGATGGCTATAAAGGTTTATTAGCAATCCATTGAGTGAAGGTAGTGGGAGAGACAAGCCCTGGCACCAACAGAAGCCCTACGATCAATAAACTCCCCCAAACCTCCCTCACACACACAGCTGTGTCAGTGGCTGACTAGCACATTTAGTCATTAATATCTCAAAATTGACTACAGTCAGGAGTTGGTGGTGGGGGGAGGGTGCACTGAAAAGTGCTGAAAATTGAATGAGGTTTTTCTCCCTCTAATTCGTTTTTTGGAGTGCATAAAGCCCATTAAACTTTGAAGAGGGGACACTACTTACTCATGCATTCAATACTGCAATCCATTTCCTATCCTAACCAACATATATTTTTCATTTCAGACATGAACCACTGAACTAAGACGGACAAAGTACTGCAATAAGCTCACGTGGCGAGCTCTATTCCCCCACCACCAAAAAATCTCAATCATGGCACCCAAATGGCTGGTGGTATTTGTCCTTTTTCTACACTCTGGGACTAACAATGCATTCCCCATGGCCCCGACCAAGCTCCCCCCTGAGACAGGCACCTACAGGGTCACAGACACCAGCCTCACTCATCTCACAGTGCACAGCCGGACGGGAGAGGTCTATGTGGGAGCAGGGAACCGGGTCTTCAAGCTGTCTGCCAACCTAACAGAGCTGCGTTCACACACGACTGGCCCGGTGGAAGACAACGCCAAATGTTACCCCCCTCCCAGCGTACGAGCCTGTGCACACAAACTGGAGTTCTCTGACAACGTCAACAAGTTGCTGCTGGTTGATTACGCTGGCGACCGCCTGGTAGCATGTGGGAGCATCTGGCAGGGCGTGTGTCAGTTCCTGCGGCTGGAGGACCTCTTCAAGCTGGGAGAGCCCCACCACCGCAAGGAGCACTACCTCTCTGGAGCAAGGGAGGCCGACGGCATGGCAGGAGTGGTGGTTGACAGAACAGAAGGGAAGTGGAAGAATGAGAAGAAGGGGAGCAGCCGGCTGTTCATCGGGGCAGCCATCGATGGCAAGTCAGAGTATTTCCCTACCCTGTCCAGCCGTAAGCTGGTCACTGATGAAGAGAGTGTTAACATGTTCAGTCTGGTCTACCAGGACGAGTTTGTGTCCTCACAAATCAAGATACCCTCCGACACCCTGTCCCTCTACCCAGCGTTTGACATCTACTACGTGTATGGATTCTCCAGCCGTACCTACGTCTACTTTCTGACGTTGCAGCTGGACACACAGCTCACCCAGATGGATGCCACCGGTGAAAAGTTCTTCACCTCTAAGATAGTGCGGATGTGTTCCAACGACACCGAGTTCTATTCTTACGTGGAGTTCCCCTTGGGCTGCACCAAGGATGGGGTGGAGTACCGGCTGGTCCAGTCCGCCTACAAGCACCGTCCTGGTCGGATGCTGGCCCAGGCCTTGGGGCTGTCTGAGGACGAGGATGTGCTGTTTGTGGTGTTCTCCCAGGGCCAGAAGAACCGGGCCAACCCGCCTCGGGAAACAGTCCTGTGTCTCTTTACCCTGCATCAGATCAACCTGGCCATGAGGGAGAGGATCAAGTCCTGCTACCGTGGGGAGGGCAAGCTGTCCCTGCCCTGGCTGCTCAACAAGGAGCTCCCCTGCATCAACACGGTGAGTCATCACCATTTCATTTGAGTAATTCCGCTCAAATCAAGTACTTCTATCCAGCCTCAGGCCCCAGCCCCAGAGGAGGCAATATTCTCCTGGGTTTACTTGCATATTTCATCCATACCTCATTAACTTCAATAGCCCAAATGCTCCATGAATATATTGAAACATTTGACAGGCTTGCAAACACGTTCTAGGCATAGGATATCTTAGCTACTCTCCACCTTATGACGCTTTATGACCAGTCTTTTGGTATTTCTACATCCAGAATCGTATTTAGAGTGAATATACAACATGAAAAGTCCCAGCTGATCTATACTATGTTTGATAAATTGAATAATTTATATTCCAGTAAACTTTATCTGGGATAAAACCATAAAACAGAGCAGTTTATCTCTATGGAGGGTTATCTCCTATGAAGCTGACTCCAGTCATATCACTGTACTGTAGTATTATGAGGCAACTCATGAAACATACAGTTAAGTAGTGATCCATCTAAATACTGTACAGCAGGCAAGGTATTTAAACGGATTCATATTATAAAAGGGTACCTCTCTCAAGGATTTAAATCAAGAACAGTTGAAGAGCTACTGCCAAAACCGTACTTGTATATTTATAAGATGTTCTGTCAAGGTTTGTGCAGGAAGTTACATTTTCCTCCCTCCTTGTGCTCTACTAGTCTGATGGCACCCGAAACCCACCGCGTTAGTTTTTAGGGCAGAGCAGAGAGGAGAACGATGAGTATCAGTAACTGACCTGGATCCCTTAAGGAAGGCGTGGATTGTTTTTATTAGGAGCAACAGGACTCCCCGCAGCTGATGCAAATCTGCTCTTGATTATGGCCTGCTTCATGGATATCATTAGTCCCTTCTCATGCGCAGCAATAGCCCTTGACCACATAATGAGAGGGTGCGTGCCAGACTCTGGCCCTGGACTTGTTTGATATAGTTATCCTTCATAAGGGCTCAACAACAACAATCGTTTGTTCCTCTGACACCGGCATGTTTTTAGTTGACACATAGCCAGCCTAGCAATGTACAGTGAGGGAAAAAAAGTATTTGATCCCCTGCTGATTTTGTACGTTTGCCCACTGACAAAGAAATGATCAGTCTATAATTTGAATGGTAGGTTTATTTGAACAGTGAGAGACAGAATAACATTAAAAATATCCAGAAAAACGCATGTCAAAAATGTTATAAATTGATTTGCATTTTAATGAGGGAAATAAGTATTTGACCCCCTCTCAATCAGAAAGATTTCTGGCTCCCAGTTGTCTTTTTATACAGGTAACGAGCTGAGATTAGGAGCATTCTCTTAAAGGGAGTTTAACTCAACTCGCCGTGTTTGGAGGAGGAGGAATGCTGCCAATGACCCCAAGAACACCATCCCCACCGTCAAACATGGAGGTGGAAACATTATGCTTTGGGGGTGTTTTTCTGCTAAAGGGACAGGACAACTTCACCGCATCAAAGGGACGATGGACGGGGCCATGTACCGTCAAATCTTGGGTGAGAACCTCCTTCCCTCAGCCAGGGCATTGAAAATGGGTCGTGGATGGGTATTCCAGCATGACAATGACCCAGAACACACGGCCAAGGCAACAAAGGAGTGGCTCAAGAAGAAGCACACTAAGGTCCTGGAGTAGCCTAGCCAGTCTCCAGACCTTAATCCCATAGAAAATCTGTGGAGGGAGCTGAAGGTTCGAGTTGCCAAACGTCAGCCTCGAAACCTTAATGACTTGGAGAAGATCTGCAAAGAGGAGTGGAACAAAATCCCTCCTGAGATGTGTGCAAACCTGGTGGCCAACTACAAGAAACGTCTGACCTCTGTGATTGCCAACAAGGGTTTTGCCACCAAGTACTAAGTCATGTTTTGCAGAGGGGTCAAATACTTATTTCCCTCATTAAAATGCAAATCAATTTATAACATTTTTGACATGCGTTTTTCTGGATTTGTTTGTTGTTATTCTGTCTGTCACTGTTCAAATAAACCTACCATTAAAATTATAGACTGATCATTTCTTTGTCAGTGGACAAACGTACAAAATCAGCAGGGGATCAAATACTTTTTTCCCTCACATGCCAAGAATGTGCAGTTTCATCGGCGCTCAGAGGTGTGTTTCTTATTACATTTCTTATCTTAGTAATTGATGGCATGTTCATGTTTCTTTATGTATCTTAGAGGTGTAGTGAAAGCTCCCAAATTCTATTAGCGTTTTGTGTATTCCAAGCCCTAAATGATTAAATAGGCTGCATTTGATCCAAAACCTTGATACATTCTGAACATTGTCCCGTTCTTGTTTTGTTTTGCAGCCGAAGCAGATCGGTGATGACTTCTGTGGGCTGGTGTTGAACCAACCTCTGGGGGGTCTACAGGGGATAGAGGGGATCCCTCTCTATGATGACCGCGTGGACGGCATGGGAGCGGTGACAGCCTACACCTATGGAGACCACTCAGTAGTGTTTGTGGGAACCCGAAGCGGACACCTCAAAAAGGTAAGGGAGACATTCTGATTCTTTCTGTTCAGTTGGGCCGATCAATTATTCCCCGGAAGCCGTGTTAGAATTCTCTACATGAAGGCTTACAAGGTGTTGGAGGCAGAGATGGGATTTCACCGAACACCAACCGCTTTGTCAGATTTATTTTGCACTGTGATTCAATATTTGTAGAACATTGCATGATACAGTATAGAATGCTTTTTCGGTCAAAAGCAGGATTGAATATACCATGAAATTGCTAGTGGAAGCCATGGAGGTCTTTTCTCAGTTTACTCTATAAAAGCTTCATGAAAATCAATGATCTTTCTCTGGTTTGGGACTTTTTGTTGTATAGATATGGCCTTTCTGACTTGAGTTGGCGGTAGAATATGCTCAGCCTCCATCTTCTTCTGCATGGATTTATTTTTGGTTTCTGCTCTGCTGGGAGTTGACACAATGTTATAATCATGGCTCAGTCATTTAAAATAGATGAAGAACATCAGCAGTTAGTCATTCTGGGTTGAAATGCTGGGTACATTATATTCAACGCAAGCTTGTTTTCTCAAAATGATGTTTAAAATCCACGGTTATTTATTTTAGGATACCTCTGCCCTAGTTGCACTTAATTTCTGAAAAAGTGACATCAGTGGGTCTTATGACATCAACTCTATAGAACGCTTAAGTTCTTATTACTCTGTTGAATTCATTGTAGTTCTACATGTTATGCATTATAGCCTTTTTGATTTATATATGTATTGCGATTTTTCATCACACCGCCTCATGTGGATCTATGGTTTCCATCCAGTGTGTCAACCTCAGACTAACTTAGAGACAGAGTGATAGTAGAGCACTGACCAATGACTTCTAGGATTCATTTAAAGTCGATAATGATTTTGTCCTTTCATAACTGTCATTGAAAAGTAAAAACACTTATTGGAATACCATCTTGAAGGACTTGGAATGCCATCTAGAATTTTGGACAATTTTTGACATAATGATATCACCACTGAATATGGCGATGACTGGAGAGGGATACATATGATGCTATTTCTGTCACTCTCCATTGGTTTTGTGGACAGGAGAACGTAGTTTGGCGCTCTACCAGAGAGAATCATGGTCTACCCCCACAATGTTCAATGAAAAGAAAAACACCCCATGACTCACCCTGACCTCTGTGCCCACTGTTTAGAACAATAACAATATTCCCAATGGTGCTACTGAGAAATGATGCCCTCACTTTCCTGCTCAGCCAACTCCAAAATATCAATTCTCCTCTAGTGTTCTATTAGATTAGAACTAGTGTGTGCTATTGCCTATCTTTGAGTATCAAGTCACTTAGTCTGCTTGCTCTGCCTTTTAAATAAAAGCCTGAGATTGGATGAGAAGAAATGTTTATAGTACAACAGTAAGATAATATTTGTATTTTTATTGGAATCAATAATCATTCTCTTATAAATGCCCCAGTCCCTCGCCCTTGTATATGTTCATTGGGTGGTCTGTTGTGTTGATTCTGCAGGATGAAGTTCGAGTTAACCATCTCATATGAGAGAAGTTCGATGAGATGTAGGGCAGGATCTAGAGACTGACTTAGCTACTTTTCACTTGTCACAGTAATTATAATGAATTACACCCACCATCCTATTCCCAGATCAGAAATTAAACTGTGCTCACATACACACTAAAAAGCATGGGCTTAGTTAGAATGTCTTCTCCTTGGAGAGTAGTCTTGTGTTTTGTTTTCTATTCCAGTTATTTATGAGGTCCCCTGTTGATACATGTCTCAATATATTCCCTACCTCCATCTTCTTGCTTGTTGCTAAAATGACTGGGTCACAAGGCTATGTCTACAAGCCGAGTTTGGAGTATTTAGCCATACTGAAGACAGTGTCTGTCAAGATGATTCAGTACTTAATATGTTTAAATGATCTGCATTGATAATACAGAAAGATATTTAGGATAATCTCTCTGCACATTTTCCCATCTCATGTTTTTAAGATGCTGCTTTCCCCCCCCCCACTTAAATACACTTGTCTTAAATGCAGATCATCATCATGAATTCATTGGGTGTATTAAAAACTGTAATTTGCATTATTTGCTAACACAATTCGAGGGGGTTGGGGTTTATTTAATTTGTGAGTGGATTATGTGGTTGTGGTGCATGTATTATTGTGAAAGAAAAAGCAGGAGACTGCAAAGGCCAAGCCCTGGCAGGGAAGTCAAATGTTCACACAATCTAAAAAGGGCTTATTCACACCAGCCACTGGCTGCTTTGGTTTTAAGCTCAATCTCAATAGAAACCAAATAGATAGGTTGCATTACAGTTACACTTAATAGAAAGTGGATATTGCACACGTTTCATCCTGTGGGTGTTATGTTTTTAATGTTTTCCAGTGAAATGCTGCTCTGAGGGATAGCTTGTTGTGGCCCAGTGTGGAGTATTAGACTACCTGCCACAATAGGGAGCTAGAGAATGCAGGAGGAGGCTGTATAATCGCACCATATTTCCTCTCAGAATGGCTTGTTTGTTTTGGCAAGAGAATAGAGAACACAAGCCGCTTTCTGGAGCCATGCGGAAATTACCCATGAGCCCCTAGTATTTCCTGTCCCCTACCAATGGGTTTCACAGTGGCATATGTAGGAGAGAGGAACCAGCGTTAGGTCTAACTGAGATTAGGCTATTATATAAAAATAATTATTATTTTGTGGTGAAAACGGAGCTGAGCGGTGCTTTGAATGTATTTGTATTGATTTGTAAGATGATCCTTTCAGGCAAACACAAAGGGAAATCCTAATTATAAGGTTATAATTATGAGTGTACGATGATTGCATCTGATTGATTTGATTTTGCACCTGTACTCTTGTGCAGGTAATGAACAGCTGTGTCCTTGTTTGGAATTCTGCTAATTCTATTACACACAATTGGATACGACTGTGACACCAAGCAAGATGCATTCAGCTGAAACAACTGTAATGTAATCAACGGTTTGCAAAAAGTATTGAAATGTTGCATCATTTCCTCTCCGGGTCCAAGTACACCTCCCCATCACCACTGTGGAGGCTGCAGTGAGATATATATTACTGCTGAAATAGGAAAAGGCCTTTCTGGATCACATAGTCTGAGTCAGCAACAGGCTGTGTATGAGACCGAGGTTGTCAGGTGTATTTTATTGCTTGTGCTGGTGTGGTGCCACTGCTGATGTTATTGTGTGTGTGTGTGTGTGTGTGCGCGCGTGTGTGTGTGTGTGTGTGTGCATAGACTTTTCTATTTTTTTAATGCTAGCCATCTTGTCTCAACTTCCATAGTGAATTCATGCAAATCAAGTTTCCACGACAGTTTTTTAATATTTAATCATTTTAATCATTTGTTTTAATATGAAATGCCAAGCAATGGTTTGTTTTGATGTTGGCTTTTCATAATGCTGGAAATATTTAATAGCTGGGACTCAATAATAAATACTACCATAAGCTAAGATATTGACTATATTATAAAGATTCAACATTTTACGGTATTGGCAATCCAAAGGACAGTAGTGATGAGGGAGAAAAATCGATACACTTACATATCGCAATATTATTTTGGATGATATTATATTGATACTTTGACTCCAAGTAACGATTTGTAAAAAATAAAATAAAATTACAGACATATTGTATCGGCACCTAAGTATCATGAGAATACCGTATCATGAGGTCGGTCCCTGGCAATTCCCACCCATATAGGACAGTCAGTAAGATCTGACCATCCTACAGGTTACCCCCCTAACAGTTTATATGTACAGCAGTAGACAAGCTGTACAGGTCAGGTGTTACCTTTATGACATGGTCTGCACCCCCATGTCTCCTGTTCTATTCTCCCTGCATCTGTCCAGAGTGGTGTCAGCCTCAAATTGGAATGGGAGCTAATTCAGCAGTATAAATCAGTGTTGGGTGAATGGGCTGTGGAGCATGCCAGGGCCTAGATTTACGAGCCATCCCGGCCCATGGCAGGTTTGATCGTGGGGAAATCTGTTTGCCGTAAATCCCCCGGTACAGAACAAGGCTGAGTGATGTTATGTCTGGAGAGCAGGGGCCATTGTTCTCCATGTGTTGTTGCAAGGGGAGTGTTCTCTCACATGTACGGGAGAGTTCTGAAGAGCTTTTGCTACAATATCTCTGTCAGATCGTTGTTGTGTGGAAAGGTGCCGTTTTATGCCAAGTGTATTATATTTCTATGGCATACATTTTTGCTTTATTTGTCGCTTTTGATTCTGTTTGGAAGGTGTTCTTATGGTTAAGAAAGAATTCCTGCACTTGTGCTGCTTTTCATTGACCTTTTCAAGGTTGTCGAGCAATTCAAGCGTTGTCTCACAAAATATATGGTTGGTGATTCATAGAAATTGCTAAGCAATCAGCCTTTCCAAGGGTCGAGGGATCAAGTGAATTTCTGACAGGTTTTAGATCCTCAGAATCTTGTATTGAATCTGAAAAACACTAACCACTAACCAGCTATTCATGAACTAGAGATTCCTCTGTCTTTTTCTAGAGGCCTCAGTTCCAGAGTCCATGTTTATACTACATACAGTTGCAGTCAAATATACTGGCACCTTCGCACTTCGCACTATTAACAATTTATTCCAAAATAAGTTACAATTGAAAAAAACATTTGGTTGTTAGCACATTTATTTGTTTGATTTACAACTGAACAGGACCAATATCCTTTTTAATAGATTTTTCACTTTAAAGAATAAAAAAATTGCCTGGTCTTAATTATTCAGAATTAAAATAAATGTTGTTGGAGGCAAGTGATTCTCGTTTACTGTGTAATTGATCTCAGCTGTGGTAAGTTGCATGTGCCTACCGGGTAAAAATAGCCATTCAACCCGTTTTGAAAAGAAGAAACAAAACGTTCTGCTCCGTTGCAGTTTGTAAAGTGCAAGGGTGCCAATTTATATATTTTACCAGAACTGTAACTACATTGTAGACAAGCTCTCTGTTGCCCCAGTGGACTGACTACCCAACACATGAGTAGCAGACTAGTAGCAGACCTCTCAGCAGTTCCCATCGGCTTTGCCATGCCCAGAGTGAGCTGTTGTTCTGTTTGACAGGA